TCCGTGCGGACGCCTCGCTCCGTCCGTGCGGACGCCTCGCTCCGTCCGTGCGGACGCCTCGCTCCGTCCGTGCGGACGCCTCGCTCCGTCCGTGCGGACGCCTCGCTCCGTCCGTGCGGACGCCTCGCTCCGTCCGTGCGGACGCCTCGCTCCGTCCTCCGAACAAACTCGTTTTTCTAACCAGATGTTTAATCTCCTTTCCTGAGCGGAACGAGCCAAACTAGCAACAGCCTGTACCTAAACGTGCGCTCGTTTGCGTTACTAAACGTTCGTCACAGTTTAGGATCTGTGCCGCCTTGTAGTCTCGCACGCTGATCAGCCGTAACATTATGACCGCCTTTCTGATGTGCTGAGACTGGACTTCACCACAAGTGTCAGACCTCCCCGCCGTGCGCTCTCAGGCCTGTTCAGGTTAATGTGCAGATATATTAAGGTTTAGAATCCACATGAAACACGTGACGTCCAGTTTTGTTACGAACCATAACCTCTTACTGCGCAATTATATGAAAATATGATTGTTTTGTGCCGTCAAGCAAGGCTAGAATGAAAAGAGATTAGTTTAAATTAATGAATACAGTAATTATTCTGTGCATCCAGAGGAGCGTCTGATCGGGCGACTTTCTTTGGAGGCTTTTCTGGGCGTGTCCCACCGGGAAGAGACCCCGGTGCAGACCCAGAACTCGCTGGATTTCTGTGGTCTGGGAGCACCTTGGGGTCCCCCAGGAGGAGGAGAGTTCCTGGGGACAGGGATGTCTCGAGTTCCTCTCCTGGACCTGTTGCTGCTGCAGCCCGACCTCAGACGACAGAAGACATTAAACATGAATTATAAGTTTCATCCAAACATTAGACATAAATGTGTAATAACAGTGAAACAAATGTTTGTGCCTCAGATAAGTACAGAACAAATGTTTCTGTAAAATCACAGCTGGTGCTTTCAAACGCTGCAGAATCTCTTCTGCACAGTCCCGAGGGCCGACTGAGACAAAGTTCTTCCAACACGAGCATCAACGTTAGTGGTCGTCTCGAGCCGGAGGCGGTTTGAGGTGCATCTAATAATAATAATAATAAAGTGCTGTGTTGTCATCATTGTATGTTCCCATACAAAGATGAAATTGACTGCATTTAACTCAATCCACCACCAGGTGGAGCAGTGGATCTACAACAATATTCTGGACGTTTGGAGCCTCTGAGATCATCGGGTCTGTTGGTGGTCATAATCTTACGGCTGATTGGTGTATATAGTATTAGTATTTGTAGTATGACAGTGTTATCAACTTTGTTGCGTATAACTTTTGTACTTTTTGTTATGAAATGTAAAATCTGTCACGTTTTTATTTTTGTTTGCTGCAGTGAATTTTATTTTCCTCAGAACTCGTGTTGAGGTTAAACTGAACTGAAAGAAGGGAACGGGTCCGCTCGGCCTCGGTTCTGGTTCTTTCTGGTCCCTGATCAGCTGCTCAACAGTTCTGGTCGTCTCCATTTTCCACAGAAGCAGATCCGTTTTATTTTTTTACTTCTTTACCGTCGAAGGAAAATGGCCGACTTTTGTTTTCTTACGTTGTTGATGTTTGAAGCCGTGTTCAGAGTTGATGCTCGTTTTAACTTTTAGCTTTAATTCAAATATGTTGACTTGAAATAAAAATGTTATCCACAAGTTTACAGCTTTATTTTTTCCAGGTCGTAACTGGTGAGAGAAAGAGGAGAATGAAACCACAACGAATGTTTAATCTGATTTAATTCAAATAAAAACAATTATCAGAGAACAGCTGGTCTGTGAAGCAGCAAGGCGTTGAGTTACAACTAAAACTAGAAGAAGGAGTTCCTGCCATGGTTGGTTGTTAAAAAATAAATACACTAAAAAGGTAAACAGAACTTCTACCTGGAGCTGTACCTTTAAAAATGGAACGTAAACTAAATTAAATGTTTTCCTTGTTTACTGTGGTTTTGCTTTTATGGTTTATAAATCAGTTTTACTTTTTCAACAAAGTTAGAAAACTCTTCAAAGAATTCAACGTTTTAAAATATATTTAGTGCAAAACAACAGAAACCGTATTTATCTGTGAAACACGTGAAGGCACGGCGCTTGGAGGCAAAACATTTGATTAAAAAACTTTTGACAGTTGTGTTGGCAGCTAAAAAAACATCTTGGCATTTGTAGCGCAGTGCTAGCAGAACAGCAGAAAGGTCAAAGGTCAAGGTGGATGGGGGCGCCGCTCAGACAGACAGTTCTGCCATGGCACGCTCCAGGGGGTCGCTGGTCCAGTAGTCGTGGTCCCAGCCCAGGAACCAGCCGGTGAACGTGGGCGGCTCGAAGCCCTGCTTGATTCTGACCACGGGCGTTCTGGGGTCTCTGCTGGCCGGGTCGGTCTCGATGTAACGGACCGCTGAGGAAGACGAGCGAAAAAATGAGTCGCCCAAACTGATGCAGAGAGAACGCTGAAGGAGCTAAAGCCATGTTGTTGCAACTAAAAGAAGCAAAACACTAGCTAAAAGCTAGTAAAAGCATGCATGCTAAAAGCAGCTAAATGTTAAAAGTAGTGACAGGTTTGCTAAAAGACAAAGAACTAGCTAAAAACTTTAAAATTTAGCTTAAACCCTAAAGTAGTAAACTACTAAAAGCAGCAAAGGGTTGGCTAAAAGAAACTAAACTAGCTAAAAGTAGCAAACGTTAACTAATTTTTTTTATTTAAAGTAGCTAAACACTGCCAAAAAGCAGCTAAATGTTAGCAAAAAGGGTAGAAGGAGGAAAACACTAGCTACAAACAAAATGTTAGTTAAAAGTAGTGAAAGGTTTGCTAAAAGCTAAAAACAACACAAGATAAAAAACATTGAAAAAAATAAATCAGTAAAATGCTAAAAGCAGCAAAAATTAGCTAGAAGCTAAACACAAAACACGAACTTAAAGCAGCACGATGTTGTCGAAGCAAAAATCAAAAGGCTAGCTAAAAGTAGTTAATGATAACTAAATATTTTTAAATTTAGCTAAAGTAGCTAAACGCTGCCTAAAAGCAGCAAAAAGGTAAAAGGAGGAAAACACTAAAAACAACAAAAAGCTAGCTAAAAACGAAAGACTAGCTAAAAGCTGCAAAAGGCTAGCTAGAAGCTAAAAGTAGCAAACGTTGTATAGGAGCTAAATGTAGCAGAATGGTACCTAAAAGTTAAAAGTAGCTAAAGGTTATCCAAAAACCTAAATTTGCAGAACAGTAACTAAAAACTAAAAAGACCGAAAGTAGTAAAGTAGCTGAAACATGTGAACAGCTAAAATACAGATAAATTAAAAGACGGGAAAATAAAAGTTAAATGCTGAATAACCCGGCCGCTAATGTTAAATAATATTACCAGACGCCATGGCTTCAGTTTTCTCCTCCTCCTGGGCTTCGTTTCCAATCCAGACAAACACCTACAGGGCGAAAAGGGTTCATTGACTTAGATTATTTAGTTTTAAACATTTCTTCTGATTTATTCCAATAAAATTGAAGCAGCCGTGATGTGCTTCGGTTTACCTGCTCCCAGGTGTCGAGGATCATTACATCATCTGTGGCAAGGTCGTCTTGGGTCATCTCCCCGGGCACCTCCTCAATCTGAGACGAACGGTAAAAACATTTGTTCGGTCGTGGAAACCGTGCGTTTTGGATGCAATCCCCCGATACACCAGGAGAGGGCGCTAAAGCTAAATAGGCTCGTTAGGACTACGATGTTCTCGCTGGCCGAGAGGCGACGTCATCAAACTTACGATAAAGTTCCCGGTCTTGTTGGAGCAGGCGAAGAGTCGCGGCGGGTGAGCGTCCATCTTGTCCTTGAGTCTGGTGGAGGTGCGATATTCTGCTTGACCTCCCAGAGGCCCCCAGAACTGATCTGCAACGACGAGAGAGAAACTTCAACTTTTCTTGTTTGGGGATTTAAGGAGAGGCGACGAGTTTACCTGGAAATCTGGGTCAGTATCGTTTTATTCCTATAGCATGCTTAAAAGATATGTTAAATGGAAAACAAATGAAATGGACTAAAACGATGAACTGGGACTTGAGTGTGTGGGGGGGGGTATTATCAACTTTTCAGACATGATTCTGAGTGATTAAATAAAATATTGTGTTTCCGTTTGACTCTAAAACACAAAAAAAAACATTTGATGTGAGGGCAGCACGGTGGAGCAGCGGTCAGCTAAAAGTAACTGGAGCCTAAAGAAGCTAAACACTGGCTAAAAGGTAAAGAGAGCTAAACAATTGCTATAAACAACAAAAAGCTAGATAAAGGCAAAATGTAGCAGGACTAATTAAAAACTAAAAATAGCATAGGGCTTTGGGTTGCCAGATAGAGTTTATGATCCTGAGTGTTTAAAAGAATATTTGGTTTGAGTAAAGTGCAACAAAATCGAGCGTATTTCATGTGAGAGCAGCACGGTACAGCTATGGTAAGCTAAAGGTAGCAAACGCTAGCCAAAACTTTCGTTGGAGCCGTCGCCTCTCGGCGAGTTCGCTCGATCGTCTCCCGGCATCCGTACATGCGAGTTTCCTCCGAGTACTCGACCAAAACCTTCATGTTGGGTTGATCGGTAACTAAATTGTCCCAACGTGTGAGTGGGAGCGTGATGGTGGTCGGTGCGACCCTGCGATGGACTCGTGACCTGTCCAGGGCGTCGCCCGCCTCTCGTGCAGCGACTGCTGGCGTGAAGCGGAGAGGAGACGCGGGTAAAGGAAACGGGTCGTGTTCGCTCACCAGTTTCTCCTCCCTCAGACAGCTCGGAGGCCGACACTCCCAGAATGTCACACAGCTGCTGGGCTCCCTGCTTTTCCGTGTCGCTGGCGCCCACTCCCACCCACAGGAAGGCGCCGTCAGGGGTGACGAGCACAAAAGCGTCGTTGGAGTTCAGGTTGGACGCCGCCGCATCGACCTGCAGGAACACAGAAGCACTGTAACACTTTCCTAGGGTCCTTTCCACCGAGCCAATCCTTGAAGACCAGAATGTTCACGTTCTTCTAATAGACGTGGAGTTTTAGATCCGAGAGGACAGAACGGTCCCCGACTCCAAAAACCACGCCGTCAATCCTCTCTCAAACATGAGCAAATGGTGTTGAGGGACTATTTTCAGCAGCGGATTAATTCAGATCTAGAAGATTTAGGCGTCCTGCAGCAGAGCGGCGGCCCTCTGAATAAACTGTCTCGAGTCTCTTGGCGCAACGCTCACAAGCGTGTTTCTAATCTGCTCGGAGGCGCAAAGGAACCGGGCGTCTGGCTGAGCAGACGACACTTGTTGGCGCCGGTCTTCATGGGATACATAGTTTCAACGATGGTGATAAAAGCACACAAATCTTGTCATCGCTGAAATGAGAAAGTGAACGTTTTCTTACCTCCACGGCTCTGGTGTTCCCTGCGGAGTTGGAGCGCACCTGGAAGAGACGGACGTCTGCGGGAGAGGACTGACCTCCCTCCCTGGACGTTCCTCCCTTGTACACCACCATGGGCTGTCCCCCGAACAGACTCATCAGGTGGGCCGGTTCCTTCCCCTGCACCACCCTCACCTGGTGCACAAACATCAAACTGAAGTGGTGCAATCCAGTAAAAGCAGCGCGTTCCTCTGTCTCATCAAATTCGGATTAAGGTGCAATTATATCAACCAACACAAGATGGCAGCAAAGAGTCGAGCCATAAAATATTTGATAAATGTTAAATGAAGTTTCGCATGTTAAACGTGACCTTACGGGTATTTTTGTTTGGATTTTCTGAGTCTCTCATGCTCAACAAGGCAGACGATGCGGATCCTGAGTGTGCACGAGCAGAAAGAAGAAGAATCAATATTTACAGATGAGTTTGAGTTAAGTCGTAGAGGACGGGCTCGTTCATAACAGGAAACTTTACGGATAAGAGCGACACAATAGCTTCTGTTCCTCGGTTTGATCAAATATTTGACACGTTTGTGGCTCGTCGCCGCCGTTGGCAGAGTTTCACGTTTGGTGTCGACTCTTTGTTGGATCCAGACACGGTGTCAGGAAGGAATAAAATGTAAATAAATAAAACGGAACGTTTATTCCCACATTTTGTAATATATTTATTTGAAAACAGTTGTGCCAAAATTGGAAGTAAAACTAAAATCTGAGATGTTCTTATTTGTTAAAAAAAAAAGCAGGTTTATACTGCTCGTGCATTTTGTTAGATATATATATGCAGAAAATCAAGTTTTGTACCATAAAGTGGATTTAAATTCAATAAATGAACTCCCGGTCTTTTCCAGGTTAATTCTACTTTAATTGGATAGACTGTGAAAACAAACGTGACGTTTGCACGAGAGCTGTTGTCGAATGAAAAAGTGAAATGTTCATTTTAAATATGGATTTTGTTCATCAATGGATTGCAGTGCAAAGATGCAGTCTTGCAAAAGGAAAAAAAACAAAACTCGAACAAAAATGTTGGAGATGCAAAGCGGGGGCATGCAAAAAGAAATAGACTCCTATGAGTTCAGAGCCGCTGTGACTTTTTCTGATTAAAGATGTGGTGTCTTGTAATAATCCCTGCCAGGCTCAGTCGTTGTAATTTTAGTTCAGAGTTTGGAAACGGGGCTGGTGGGCGTTTGACTGAGTTAATTCACTGTCACGCTCTTTTATACCCCAACTGACTGCATCTAGCTTGAGATAAAGTGTTGTCCTTGTTGCCTTGTTTCATCTGTAGCTCAGGAAAAGTCACATTTTGCCAGACCAAAGGAAGAGGGAAGGGAAATACCTGAGTGGTTATAGGAGCACCAACAACCTGAGGAGCCAGAAAGGACCAGCAACCGAAGAGGAGAGAAGCAGCAGTGGGACAACGATGAGGAAAAGGATTAAAAAAAGGGGAAAAGGATGCAAAGACTGCACTGAGTAAGCCAGGAGAGATGAAATTATGAATGTAAGTTTAGGGAAACAAAAAGTTGAACGCGACGTGGTGTACCTGCACAGGACCACCGCCGAGCTCCTCGTCCAGCTGGGCGCCAAGAATCGCACAGGCCCCGATCTCATCCTGACTGGAGTCCATTCCCTGCCTGACGAAAATTAGATCTTGGAAATTCAACGACTGTTGCAGTTCTGACAAACCGCTGCCTCGTTTGGACCAAAGTTGAGGTCGTCGTCTCACCACATGTAAATGATGTGTCCTTGACGTCCTCCATGACTGTAGTTATACAAGATGATGTAACTGTCTCCTCCGTAGAACTGTCCATGCGTGGATGGATCCACCAGGACCTTGTCCGATGCCTCAATGCGCCAGATCTACGTTGGTCAGGAACAAATGTCACTCCATTAAATCAAGAACAGCCAGAATCTGCAAAACCATCTTTTCACAGGCAAGAAGACTCTTTATGTACATTTCATACAAGATGAATTACAACAAGTTTACCCTCAAACTAAGAAGTGTCAGGTTGCGCAACAGTTTATTTCCTCAAGTAATACGAGTGTTCAACTCCCTGCAATATATACAGTATAAGCAACTGTTTTATCTCTTAACTTGGTCTTAAACTTGCAGAACAGATTGGTCTTTTTGTGGCGTTGTCTCTCTGAGACGTAACCACCCTGACAACTTCTGTAACCAGTCCACTCTCACCTGTTTCTCTCCGCTGCCATCATCAACCATGCCGTGCTGGGCCGCCATGGCGGGGGACTCGTGAAGGCTGGCGGCATCGAAAGGCACCTTCTCAATCTTGGCGATGCTGTTGGCGATGTAGGCCACGCCCAGGCCTTCTGTCTGGTCTTTATCCCGCCAGTTTTTGAAGAACTGCTTGAAGAGCGGCGTCTCGCCCATCTCCGGCAGGATCTGCACCGACGTGTGCTTGGGATAACCCATTTTCTTGATGAACTCATCGGCCGCCTTCATCGCCGCCTTTCGCTCGTCCATGTTGGCGTCTTTGCCTGTGGAGAAAAGAGCGAATCACGCTCAAGCTGCCCGTCTGACTTCAACAATAGATGTGAGAAATAATCATTTTAGCCGGTGCTTGTTAGATTTAGGCACTGCATCAGTCGGTACTGACCTTTCCAGACAAAGATTTTTCCGTCTGAGCCGTGGTCCAGAATGAAGCAATCGCCAGACTCCAGGGCGCTCTGGGCAAACGGGTTCTCGGCTGCCACCAGAGCAATGGTCATGCCTCCACCGGCGTTGGAAACCTGCAGGAGTGAAAGCAGGAGGTGTCAGCTCTAAGTTAGAGGCTCGAAGTGTCACTTAGATTAATCCTTAAATTAAGTTCTGCTTCTTTAGATTGTTTTTTTTTTTTACTTTTAAAATTAGATTATCCATACCATCGTCTAGATTTTCATTTTTGATCTTTGATTTACTGTATCAGTTACAAACAGTATGTGCAGAAAAAGTAACACAAGGGTTTTTACTGCTATTTGTGTATATTTCAGTTGATGCAAAGCTTGTTTTAGAATGACCGCACTAAGTAAAAGCACCAATGAGGCTTGGCGTGTCATTAAATAAATTTTTAACACTAAAGTTTGAGTTACTACCTGAAAAAAGCCATTTTAAGCAAGTTAATTTATTACAAGATGTATTTTAAATATACAGATGAAAAACTGGTCACACAACCCTGTTTAATATTTCACTACATGATATATGAGATGTGTGTAAAACAGTTTACATGACATAAAAAACAGAAGAGCGTTTGGATTTTATTACTCGTTTAATCATAAAACAATATTAGAAACTATAAAAAGGAGAAGTGTGGTATAATGTTCTCTATTCCCTTCTACTGTATGCAGACGACACTCAATTGTACATAAAAATCCCATATTTTAAGAGTTTTTATAATATCACAGCTTTTATTGGCTTTTGAGTTTTGGTGAAAACAGCAGATGTGTATGAACCAAGAAAATGAACAAAGAAAAAAGTACATTTTAAAATATTTGGAGTTTTTGGTAAAATATACACATTTTTTCAGGTTCAATCGGGTCCTAAAAACATCAGATGATTTCTTGTAACTGCTGGCCTAAAACAAAATATACCGTATTTTCCACCGTACATGTCACATCTTTTATGCGTCACCACTGGCAACCCGGAAATGTGGGCCGGTGTTGTGCCAAAAATCGATTGGCTGCCAAATGGTGGCCGCGGGAGCGTGCACGTGAGTACTTTAACAAGAATTTAACAAGATTAACACTTAAAATCAATAATTTGTTCGCTCGAAATTATAGCAAATGTGTGTCACATTTGAACTTTTTATTAATAAATGCACTTTGACGGTCAAATCAGTTGCATTTCAAAACCCGTTTCGTGGAAGCACGCGATGAGTCACTGTGCATTTCTTCAAAATGTAACAAGATAAGCACCTAAACAATTATCTGTTAAATGCACTTTGATGGTCAAATCAGCTGCATTTCGCCGAGACGGCGCAGCAAATTGGTTTGACAGTTGCTCCAGGTGAGCTGGACGAAGGTGGCAGTATATGGCAAGCCGATTGTGTCATTAATAGCCACTTTTATCTATTACATGATACAACGGCATGCCATACTACTTGAGTGCCATCTAGCGGCTGAAAATGGTAGTGTTCAATATTTTCCATGTCAGAATGAATGAAAACGTCACATATCAACCAAAAATTGTTTTATAAATATGAGGAAAAAATCCATAAATAAGTTGTTTCGGCGTATAAGTCATAGGGCATGCAAATTATGCAAAAAAACTGCGACTTATACAGTAGGCCGAAAAATACGGTACATGGTTTGGTCTACTTTCACTCTTTCAGATCTAATGAACTTTCAAAAACGTAATAAAAATTACCAACTGCCTCCAGTTGATTGAAAAATCTTCAGTCGGGCTCACTAATGGAGCTGAAAAACCTGAAACATTTTCCCTGGGCTTGCCTCTCTGCCATATTGATTTAAAATATTTACTCCTGCCAAAGCATTAAATGGCCTCTCTGCATTAAATCACAGACATTACTTGAGTCAGACATCCTGCTTTTATCCCACGTTCACGCCCTCACCTTGTAGAGTTTCGCCTTCTTCCTGTTCGAAGCATCAGCTGTGACGTCGTCAGAGGCTCCTGCGGGCAGATCTGGTTTGGGACCTAAAACCTGTAACGGAGGCGATGATTTAATAAAAGTCTCAGTTTGGGAGTTGATTCGTTCCCGTGGTTCCCTGGCCTCACCTCCAGCATCTTCTCCCTCTCCACGCCCTCGTCGCAGACGTACACCCGGGCCCTCCCGCTGCGCTCGTTGTCACGGATCCCCTTGGCGACCTGAGTAGCCTTGAGCTTCTCAAAGCGATTGCTCTGAGAGCCGCACCACTGATAAATCTCCTGTGGGATGAGGAAGAGGAGCAGACGGCAAATTAGACGACTGAAGGGAAAAGCTAATTAACTTCAGATGACTATTTTTGATCCCTTAAATGACTTTTGGTGCAGTGTGCTGTTAAAAACCGTTGTGCAGTATATTTAATGATGATCTGCTCCGTCTGACTCACATCTCCCAGGTCCAGGATGAAGCAGTCTCCTTGGTTGAAGCTGTCCCAGCTGACTGCCACCTCCGTTGCCCGGACAACCCGACGACCTTTGATCTGCAGCACGCGCTGCACCGACACCTCGTTGGTGACGACGTGTTTGAACCCAGACGCCACACCTCCTTTCTGGAAGACGAACGCCACACTTCACTGAGACACACTTATTTATTGACATTAATGGAAAGTTTAGACGTTCGACGGACACAATGATGAGGTCAAAACTAATTAAATACAGAAATAGGTTAGACATCTTACCATGTATTTGATTCCAGACTTGAAGTAGCCCAGAAAAGTTTTTGACTCGTGTCCTTGCACCTCACGGTACTGGATAGGTTTCCCCCCCAGGAAGTCGTCCATTTGGACTGTAAAGATGGCAGCCGAGCCGCTCTCATCCTGGGAGCAAAAATCCCCTGTGCCAAGGTAAGCAAGACACGTTCCTTAATAATTCTTGTTTTTTGTTAGTTTTGTTTTTTTATCACTGTAACTTCACTGTGCATTGACGAACTACGATGTTCACAGACAACAATGTGATCTGCAGTGAGGGTAGGGAGCAGGTGGAAGAGAATCTGGAGAGGTTGGAGTTTGAACAAGGCAGCGTTAGTGAGTACATCAGAGGGACAACTCGGGCTGAGATGGTTTGGACATGTCCAGAGGGGGGACACAGGGTGTTGTATTCGGAGCTGCTAAAAAAGAGGAAACCCATCAACAGGAAAAGGTTCATGGAAGGATGAAAAAGGAAATACAGACAGAGAAGGATGAAGGAAGCAGCTGAAAGAGGAAGTAACTGCATCTAAACAGAGACCAGTTTTGTGTGTAGCTCAGAAAATCAATGTGTAGCCTCACCAGGGGTCAGATCCTACAGACACAATACGATACGCAAACTGGTCAAACAAACTGTAGGTCAGCAGAATCAACCAGGTCTCGTTTATCCGGTAGCTGTTTTAATGATCAGTCAAACGTGAATATCTTATCTTATCTGAAATTGTGACAAATTAAAAGTAGAAGACAGTAGAAGAATATCAAAAATTTTAAACTAAAATGTAAAATTCAGACGAAACACACGGAGCGATAAAATTCAACAAATCATTTTCCGAATATTTAAACCGGCAAAGTTTTCGTACATTTTACTGACGGGCTGTAATTTAGGGAGATCGCGGTTTAAATGTACCATATAAGTCGCAGCTTTTTGCATGAATTAGCATGTTTACGACTTATACAGCCAAGAGATTTATTTTTTTATTTTTTTCCATATTTATAAACCAATTTTTGGCTGAGACGTGACAATTTCATTCATTCTGACGTGGAAAATATTGAACACTACCATTTTCAGCCACTAGAGGGCGCTCGACTCATATGGCAAGCCAAGTGCCTCATTAAATGGTAAAAGTGGCTATTAATGAGACGCTTGGCTTGCCGTACCAAGCCACCTTCATCTCGCTCCAGAACTCCTGGAGCAAACGTCACATCAGCTGCATTTTGTCGCGCCGCCCAGGAGAAACGCAGCTGATTTGAACGTCAAAGTGCATTTATTAAGGAGAAGTTCAACTGAGACGCACCTTTGATATGATGCCGCACAAACAAATAATTGTTTTTATGTGTTCATCTTGTTAAAGTCCTCGCGTGCACGCCCCCGTGGCCGCCACTTAGCAGCCAATCAATTTTTTGGCACACCGGCTCACGTTTACGGGTTGTCAGCAGTGACGTATAATAGATGCGACTTATTTGTTTTTTTCCACTTTATTAGACATATTTGGATTGATGCAACTTATACGGCGGTGCGAAGTGTACGGTGGAAAATACGGTAGAACTGAAATCAAATGTTTACAGTGTATTGTTGCTTTGGCTGCCACAGAGAATCGTAATATGTCTCCAATCATTGACAATAAAACTGTGGAAGTTAGATGTTAGAAAAAAAAACTGAATAGATGTGAAAAAACACTTTGATTTTATGTTTTATTCCCAACGGACACTTTTCACACGCTGGCTATAAAAGGACTATAAAAACATATTTTGCTGAAATAATTAGATTTTAAAAGTTTCATGCAAACCGGCACCACTGAGAATACTTTTAAAGGAGCTTCCCAGTTACAGAACCTCATACAGGACCGTAGCCACACTGGAAAACCAACATCATCTCATCTGACCACAGAAAAATGACAACAATAGATCATAAAATGTAACTTTTGTGTTTCTCAGCGAGATGACGTTCGTCTCCGCGGACTCACCCAGCCAGAAGTGGAGGTCGTACTGCAGGTTCCCGGAGCGCTGCTTGATCGTGTTGAGGATGAGGTAGGCGTCTCCGGTGTAGAATCCCCCGTGCAGGTTCTCAGGAACAGGCACCAGGTCAAAGTTCTCCACCCTCCACACCTGGAGACCCGGTGTCTGACCGGCCCGCTCGAACTCTGGGTGGTGCGCTGCCATCCTGCCTGCACAGAAATCGCACAGCTGAGGGTTGTGGATCTGGAATGGAGACGGGGGACGCCCAGCCCGTGAGCCTTTTGCTCTGGAAAACACAAAGCCACTCCCTTCGGGTCTCAGCTGTTGTCATGGAGGCAAAGATCAAGTTTGGAGCTTCGGTTAGTTATTAATACACGTGACAATGAATCACCGGCTGTTTCCTTCTTTAGGCAGAACGAGGAAATCCTGAGAACTGTTAGTGATGGTTACAAACCAAAACAGACCATTTGACGCAGAATACTGACAACATGTCATGACTGTTTACTGAAGTAGTTCTTATTTAACTCGTATAAAACTTAGCAGACCTCACAGATTAGTCTACACGACCTAGATTTTGATTCATTGCTCACTCAAAACGTGGCCGCACGGCTCGCTGGTTTCCAACAACCAGAACTGATTGACGACGCAACAGATTTGCCTTTTTTTAATCACAAGTTTTAGTTGCCAACAGCTGCAGTCCGCTGAGTCCATCCTTTAGGGAGTTTTGGTGTTGCACGCTGTACGTCAACAAAGTTAGATTATGAAAGTCATGCAGCCGAGTCCAGGTCCAGAAACGGTTTGTCCACGTGCAGAACGGCTTTGACGTTTAAACTTTGACTTTTAAAAGCTTTCTTTTTGCTCTTAATCGCTTCAGAGCTGCTCACAGCACATCTCAAGTTTCAGTGTTGCAGAGCGAGGGATGGCCCAGTTCAGACAGGAACGCAGGCTCCAGTTTTCCACAGGAATGCCGTTTTAAACTGGATGAGCAGCCGTCCTCGCTGTGGCCAGAACGAAGCGAGCATCGTTCCAGGCAGCTCTCTGCCCACAGTCACAGCAGGAATCTGCTCCGGACCCTGGAAGAAGGAAGTGCTTCAGAATACTGTTTCCTCTCGCTCCGACGCATTTTATATCAATTAGGGCGCTCGACAGGAAAACTGCAGGTTTGTTTTAGCAACAACCCCTTATAAGGTCAAATGTTTCTGTTTTTTATCGTTATAAACGTTATAGAGACATAGGAGGCCATCTGAACATCCTGCAAGACGTTTAGCAAAGTTTGCGGTTTAGTATTGTCCTTTTTATTCAAACTAAAGTTATGGGAGGCTAAAAATTACCGTACTTGCCGCCGTACTCTTGGTCGACTCGCATCTCTCTTTTAAGCTCCACGTGGAAAACTTGGTAAAGAAACTGGAAGTTAAACTGGGTTTCTTTTTCAGAAACAGATCCTGTCTAACCCTGAATGTTAGGAAACGCCTTGTGTCTGTGACTTTCCTTCCCTCCATTGATTACGGTGACATTATTTACATGAACGCTCCTACAAGAACCCTGCAGATGTTGGATGCTGCAGATGTTGGATGCTGTCTATCACGGTGCACTAAGATTCATAACTGGCTGTGATTATCGTACCCACCACTGCACCCAGTATTCACTGGTTAACTGGACACCATTAACTTCACGCAGACTCTCTCACTGGTACATTTTCATCTTTAAATCACTTCTTGGTCTGCTGCCTTCATACATCTCCTCCTACATGTCTCTGCGTGAGTGCAGCTACAGCGTGCGCTCTCAGGACATCATTACCTGCAGTGTTCCCGCAGTGAGGACTGAACTAGACAAAAGGACCTTCTCCTACTCCGCTCCTGTTTCCTGGAATATCTTACAAAAAGAACTGAAGCTCTTGACCTTTGACCTCTCTAAGTGGCTTTAAGAATCTGTTGGACTCCTGGCAGGGACCAACGCAGACATGTTCCTGTTTTTAGTTTTCTAGATTAGCTTTATAATCTTGCTGTTTTTTCACTACATTTCCTTTTAATTATCATTTTGTTTTCAATTGTAATTAAACAAATTGTATGCATCATTTGTGAATGTCTGTTGTTGTAGTTGTCCACTGTTGTCGTCACTCTGTTAAAATTCATGTCTCTCTTGTAAAATGAGTCGCTGTGGCTCAATGGGATTAACCTGTTTAAATAAAGGTTGAACATGTCGCACCGCCGTATAAGTCGCATCAGTCCAAATGTGTCTAATAAAGTGGGAAAATTCATAAACATGTCGCATCTATTACGCATCACCGCCGACAACCCGGAAACATGTTGTGCCAAAAATCGATTGTCTGCCAAATGTTGGCCACGATAAGGACTTTAACAAGAATTTAACAAGATTAACACTTAAAAACAATTATTTGTTTGCTTGAAATTATAGCGAAACATGTGTTTCAGTTCAACTTTTCCTTAATAAATGAACTTTAACGGACAAATCAGCTGCATTTCTCCTGGGCGGGGCGGTGAAATGCAGCTGATTTGACGTTTGCTCCAGGAGTTCTGGAGCGAGACGAAGGTGGCTTTCTATGGCAAGCCAAGCGTCTCATTAATAGCCACTTTTACCTATTAATGAGGCACTTGGCTTGCCATATAAGTCCAGGGCCCTGTAGTGGCTAAAAATGGAAGTGTTCAGTATTTTCCATGTCGGAATGAATGAAATCGTCAGATCTTAACCAAAAATTGATTATAAATATGGAAAAAAAACATAAATACATCACTTTGGTGTATAAGTCGCAGGGTATGCTAATTTATGCAAAAAATATGTAACATACGGCGAAAAGTACGGTAGATTAAATCAGAGCAAATTGGGCTTGGAAGAAGACTAACAACGGATAAAAACAACCATTAACTAATGGAAGACCAACCAAGACCAGGAGAGAGGGGAGAAGGAGGGATTTGCATGTGAGTTCAGCATACTGGATCAACTCATTGAAGGTGTTGAAGGTGTTTTTTTGTTTTAACCGGTTCCAGAGTGCACAAATCTAGAAGCGCCTCCCTCGTGTTTTCCTGCAGACGGACACAAGACGACGTCTAACTCGACCTTCGAGGCAACATGTCAGACGTAACGTTGTGAGGACAGGCGTCGACGTCGCTGAGCGATCTGAAGAGCGAATGTTTCTAGTTTCTGTGAAGAGTGTTTATATACGGATCCAGGCGAGCGAAGTGTGAATCATTCATAAATTATAAAACGTAGCTTCAATTACTGAACGAATCTGAAACAACTTGTGATTATAAGAAAAATATAAAGATACGAGATCGTTCGCAACTAAAAGAAAACACGGTTAATACAGCATTTGAGAACACGAGTATCAGGTGACGGAAAAGTTGTGTTTTAACAGAATAAAAGATTATAAATGAGTGAGTTCATGGTGGGAGGGGCAGTGAGCTGAACTCCTGCCTGTAGGAGGGGCTGTCTGTCTGTACTTGGTCCTGACAGGAAATGGTGACCTGGCCTTGGGTTTGAACTAGGTTCTGAGGAATTTATAACTGGGCGTAAAATACGTCTGGAGGAGATTGGATGTACGTTTTTGGCCATCTAAACAAGAGTTGTCAGTTTATTTCCTGTTCTGATGAGTCAGGACGTCCGTTGAGGATTAAAAGTAACCAATCGGTACTCGTGGCATCTTCTACTGACACCAGCAGCAGACGTCTCTTTGTTGTCCTCCGGGAACCGTCGCTGTCTGTGAGTTCAAAAGTGTCCTGTCAGTGAGGAGTGTGGCTGCTTGAGGATAAATCTCTGGGTTAGTGTTTTTTAAATGACATAGGACACTAAAGAAGGGAGCAATTGGATTTACGACCAGGTGCAGTGGTGGAGCCAGGGGGTGGCCAATGGTGGCCTAGGCCACCATCAATTAATCTGCTGCCACCTCAATCGTTTGAGGAAACTTTTAAGCAATATAATAAGTAGTAACCATAGTTTCCTCAAAGAATAGGGGTAGTCTGTTTACATCTACGTATGTGTGGCGGTAGCCATCTTGGATTTTGGCCCAGCAACCTAATTTTTAATAATGACCCATTTTATGCCTCGACGCAGCCACACACCAAAATGGAAGTTGGTACCTCATTTATTTTACATGTTAACCTGACAAACCCAGCGTTGTTACTCTAACCCACCACCCAACTCTAACCCGGAGTGTTACTCAGCGAGTGACGTCACGTGCGCTGCAGTAAAGCATCACTGACGAGAGCGCCACTTTGACGCGCCCTTTCTTTGTTCCTGTTGATTTTCTTTGAATTTTTTTGTGCCTACACTGCACACCGACGCTTCAGGTATGACCGTGATGCACATTTGGAGTTTTGGTGTGTCGCTGCCTTGCCATCATGATTCAGTTCTCGGGCCCCCTTTCTGGCTGAGGCTCCAGCCTGCTGCAAACGGGACCGGGCTGCTTACAGAACCACACTGCTGACAGAACCATGCTGCTAACAGGACCATGTTGCTAACAGTACCATGCTGCTAACAGTACCATGTTGCTAACAGTACC